TTACATACACTTACGCTTGCTATTGAAACATGTCAGTATATCTGCTCAGCTCTTGTTGGTACGTTCAACCATGTTTAATAGGCAACGGACATTCAGTATTTTACGATGAAATAAGACGTAACGGTACCAAAAGTTGCCATCGTTGCCTCAAACAATGACTTGTTCGCGTATTGGGTGGTAATGGCAACTTGTTATTCACGAAAGTATAGTACGAGGGCACTGCCATAAATTAACTGAATAACTAAATGAAGTTTTTAAATTTTTAATGATATTAGAAGACGTGCGAAAAATATTTACGTCAGGGACTGCAAAAAGTTGTTATATTCACATTAATAACCTCCTTTTTAAGTAATAAATTTGGAGTACAAAATTGACCCCCTACTTTTTAAAAAATTTATCATCAAAAGTGTATAGGATACATCAGGCATTAAAGCAAATTATCAAAAATATTGATGTACCATGAAGAACGCTTATACTAAACGCTTAAACTAAGATCTTGGCTCTGCGAACGTAACAAACAGCCTGCAGATATTACAAATTCTATCACAAATAACATTTCATACGACCAATATAGTCCCAATAGCTCAGATTCTACGGATGTGGACAAAACCAACAGCACTCGTCATTAATTCTGATGATCGTGCAAAGCTAGACATGTTTTGAGTTTCTATATACATTACAAAACATACCTTTAAACGTATAAGGCCAGTTTTATTTACTGTTTCTATTTTGTATGAGCAATGGATTAGGTTACCAAAAATTTTTCGATGCACTTTCTGTTGATTCGGAAAAGAATGACAAAATTGCCAGACGTTTTATTTCATTGTAGATGGTACAAAAAAAATTGAGTGGCTTGGTACAAGGTAACAGTGGTTGTCTGGTATTATGTTTACGAAAAATCTGTAGTTCAACATCTTTGATATGAGTGTGTTTATGTTTATGTTTGTAATTTGTACTCCGTGCATTTCTTAGAGTCTAGCAGTAGATGCTCATGTTACACTACTATTAATAATAATAACCAATTTTAACGCTTTTGTAATCCAACCTCTAAATGTTTATAGCTTGTAAAAAAATTTCACACTCAGCATTCTAATAAGCAACTAATACACGGTTCTACTTGTTTCAGTTTACGCTGTCCTAAATGTGTTCTTGATAAAATTTTTTGTTCTTAAACGTGTCTTAGTAACTCCAAACGTCTTTTACTTTGTCTTTTCAAAGCTACCACCAGTTACTTTCGGCACCAAGTGAGTTTCTGTGGTTTTTTCCCATTGAAATGGCCCTACCAAAGGCTTTTTTTGTGTATTTTGACCTGCTAAACACGATTTTTGATGGTGGCTTACTAAAACTTAATTGTAAATAAATTACAGTTTTTAACTGTAAACTCCTTAATCTTATTTTGTTTTATTATATTTGCCAAATTCTTTATACTTTATATTTTTTACATAAACGTATTGATATGAGCACTAAATAGTAAGTTCTTCTGGATTTTATTAGGGAGCATTTATTTTCAATCATTTAGTTTGACTTTATACTACGAAAAAGGTGGAAGTATACGTAGCCTCATAAAAGTTGAAGTAGGTGTAAGATTATTTATTAATGATTGCTTGCAACGATAATAAGATTACACCCTCAATTTGTCGAACGCCTTGCGTTTTACATTTTCATTTACTACATTAACCAAACATTTTTTTAAATTTATTAAATTATAATTGAATACTAATTCAAAGAGACCTTATAAATAATTTTAATTTCTCAATATTTAGATACTTTTTGGCAGGTATGTGTACATGTAAGATCTTTACCCTGACCAAAATCAAGTAAACAATTTCACAGGATTTCTTTGTACTCTCTTTAATTTGGTGCTTACTTTTCTGGTATAATCTACTCTCGTAGGGTTAATGCAAGGCAAGAAATACACGACATAACTTATCACCTAATGCATCAGCGAAAGAGTGGATAGGTGCATGGCATACAGATGCCGCAGATTTAACTTGTTCTTACAAAGTCTAAAAATAAGTATAAAAAGATATAATAATTTCAATAAATTAAGAAATTTAGACGTTAAAATCATAGCAGTATAGCTATAAAGTACTTTTTTTAAATTCATGAAGGAAGTATAACACTAAAACAACAGCATCAGTGTCAAAAGATATCAGGTAAACTTTCAAGTATCCAGAAATGATTGCATGGTTGAAATAATTTAAAAAGTTTACGCTGATTTCTTCTACGTCAGTTCTTTGCAAATCTGTTCAATTCACTGGTTCTACATTAGATTCACGTCATGAATTGTTAATCGTGCTAAATATTACAACAAATTGCCAAAAAAAACTCTTCTCTCACATAATACTTTCTTTTTGGGAGCAACACTTCATTATTACGTAATCCCCAAGATGTTTGTTCAAGCTTTATTAAATTTGTATCCTTATTAATACTGTTGTAATTGACCTAAGTGGATTTGCTTACATCTTTTTTGGTGCTAAGAATAGTGTGTGCTCATAAATTCGTACTAAATTTTCAAACGGATAATTTCTATCATTAGCTAGTGCTAATAAGATTGATTTCCTTTGTGATTTTTATATATGTATCCTTCTAGGATTTTTTTGTTTGTCTTAATTTTTTTTTTATACTAATAATGTGTGAGAGTTTAGTAAAAGTTTTTTTTTTTTATTGTTGCTGACAAAAACATCAATTTTTTAACAAATCTCTCATCTTAAAATGTTTTCTCTAACTGAATACCTCAATTAAATATATTTCGTAGTGTAAATACCTCATGGGAGGTGAATACACTATATTACAAAAAAAAAATATATATATTTTGTAGTAGATCTGTACGTATCGAACTGTCCGTTAGATTTCCTGTGGATACATTTTTTAACAGCTGAGTTCCGGCAGTAAATAGGCTTAAATTTTTTCTGTTCATATAATTTTTTATTTTTTAATCACAAATTTTTGAATTTGTAATAACTGTGGGTGAAAATTCACGTTAAATAATTAATATACCTTAAGTATCACCAAGATACTTAAGCTTTTTCAAAATAATAACAGATTAACAATAATTTGCGACACATCAAGTCATAAACAGCTGTTTTTTTTCTTTTATTCCTATTACTTCTTCTATACTACTTTTTGACGTACAATTAATTGACTGCTCCAATCCATGATTTGAAGCTACTAAAGTCAAAGACGTATCAAATTTATTTTACTGTAGACCTACTTTTAATATTTTCTCATAAGCTTCTTATGCTATTTTGTCCAGTAAAAACAGGTCTTCAACGAGCATTGAACGTGACCTTGAATAATTTATTCGATATATAACATGACATACAGGAAAAAGTTTTTTTAGCGTGTTCATATGTAAATTCATATCCCCAATTGGATCTGCTCTTCTTGGATATTAACCATACTAACTAATGTTAATTAGTTTTTCCATGAGCAACACATTTTAAGTTATCAAGATCTACGCATAGTGGATTCATGAAATTCATTTAATAAACTGGCACAACTTATTTTTAAATTTTTGTATAAACACTTAAATTTGTTCGTATCTTTAATCTGTAAACGTTCTTGAAAAACTATTTTTAAATCCGTTTTATTTTCGTACTTCTTTATTCAATCTTGTGTAGAAAGTTCTTTCAGTTTTAATCTTCTCAACACTTATTCTAGATGAGTAAAAGCTTTTAAAAAATGTGCACAATGACTTTCTTATAAGTAATACTTCAAAGGTTATGCAAATTCCAAACAACTTAGACTTGATACGTGTATTTTCCATGTTACTCGTTCTTATATATTTTTCTATGCATGACAGCACTGTTTTCGTTTTAAGAAAGCTGCCAAGAAACAAAACTTTAGAAAAAAATCTTTGAATTTGACATTGTTTTCCAGCTTAATGTGTCTTGCTATTTTTTACACTTTTTTGTCACAGAATACTGCTAATAAATTTTAATAATATGTATTTCGCGTGCAGCTGTATGTAGTTTTTATAGTCGGTTACTTGTGCAAAAAAAACCGAAAAATAAAATACTCTTTGCTTCGGTTGGTTGTCAACATTCATCACTTAATCAAATGAGATCTATGAGGGTACACATTGACTGGATGGTTTTTCTATCACATGAGAATCTTTCAAAAGCATTTTCGTAAGATATCACATTAAAATAGATGAATTTAAGGAGGCTGCATCACGAAATGTACAAGAACTTTTACTGACATATCATTAAATTTGAGATCACGCTGATTCCAATGGTATCTTTGGCATCATCAATTGGTCTCTTATGGCCGAAGGCCTGAAGCAAACTTTTGACTGTTAATGAAACTACTAAAATGGAATGTGCAAGCAAAAAAAAATACTTACCGTCATTCTGACATTCTTATCTTTAAGAAACCGGTTGACTTTATAGGCTTTGGTGATAAAAAAAATTGATAAAATTGTGACGAGGTAAAACTGGTGTTGCTAGTTTTCCCTGCGACCCTGCGACGCCTCCTTGCTCTGCTCAATTTTAAGCATGCTTAGCTGTCTTTGTCTAATTAATTGTTCTTTTAGGGACCCGTGCGAGCTGGACGTGACGACGAAGACGCCAAGCCAGATTGGTGGAAGCGACGGCGGCTGCAGCGGAAGATGGAGAGAAAGGCGCGAAAAGTCAGCGGAGTGCAGCGGAAGTCAGGGAGAGGGCCATCCCGAGAGCTTGGGAGGGGAGTCAGTCTTGCTCGAGCCTTGCAGCGAAGTAGTCGAAGAGAGAGCGTGTCAAGAGTCTTTTCCTTTTTTTTTTGAGTAGAGAGCGCGTTCGATATCGTGGAGTGGAGAGAACGAAGGTACGAAAGTGTTGGAGAATCGAGGTGCGAGAGTTGAAACGTGAGCCGAAGACAGAGGCCAGGGTCAGCATTGAGAGGAGTCAGCTAGGGGAGGTCGAGCGAGCCAGCCAAGGAAGTCGAGAGAGGGAGCCGGACAGTGGACGAGGGCCGACCCAAGAGAGAGAGAGAGGAGAGATCCATCCCGAGGCCGAGGGTCAAGGAGCCACTCTAGAGACTGCAACAACGTCGGGACGAGGTAGGGTGTTAGAGCATTTGGAAGCAGGTGAGAAATAGGAAACTGAGTGTGCCCCGGCCGGAACTGGTCATGAATCGTGCAGGAGAGTGAGAGTGTGTGAGAGTTGAGAGAGAGGGATAGAGAAAGGAAAGTGCGAAGCTGGAAACGAGCTGGGGAGAGCATAGAGAGAAAGACTGTCGACCTAAGGGCAGAGTGCGATGGTGGTGGGACTAAAGGCGTGTGGACTCATACTGTAGGATGCGGGTGTCAGTCCGGTGAAAAAGTGTACGTGCTCGCGCAATCGCGGTCGACGTTGATGCCGTGGCCACTGAATCGCCGGCACCCTCGATTGGTGTATTGTATCAAAGAAAAAGGAGAATATAGTGCTTGATTAAACCTTGATCCCGCGTTAAATCTATTAATCCTAATTGTTTTTCCCCCTTCCTCCTGGAGCCGGGGAAGCTCAGCGTGGACCTCCTTTTGGTTAAGAGACGGCGGTAAGGAGAGGTATAACCGCGAGAGAGCAGGAGAGAAAACTTAGTCGCCTGTTTCCGGGCCGTGGAACTTCTTCACGGAAAGCAGTTCGTGACAAAATAGCTAAAATACTATTTTGGTCTGCAGTTACGTTTGATGAGTGCTGTGACAAACACTGCCAGCCATATTGGTCTAAGGAGTGCTCTCAATAAAAAAAATTTAAATTTGTAAAATAACATGAAAACTTATATAATGATTTTTCAACTTTTATTTGTTGGGTAATAATGCAGTAAATTATGGCAATCATTAATATTTAATTATTTGACAGCTGACTATACAAATATGTAGCAAACTATATATAAAAGCAGGTGGATTCAGTTAAAAATAAAACAAACTCCCTTACCAACATACTACTAGTATAAAAGGAAGCTTTCGTCTAGTGACATCGGATTGATCGTCACTGAATTGACTAACACAGTAGACGATGAAGCCTTCTTAAGATGAAATCTTAAACATGTAAGGTAAAAGTATTTTGTCTTCTGCAGCCGCGAAAATCCATAATCTCTTGGCGTTTTAAAGGTGACATAAGAAATCGTAAATTGACGAAATTGAGATACCAAGTTTTACATGACGATTTTCAGTCGTATTTTTAAACACGACAATCACCGTATCATGTATTGCGTTCAATCTTGAAATAATTGTTTCATGGTGGTCAAAGTTGTCAAATACGGTAGTGATAAAACTATTCGGATCAAACTATTAGAAAACTATTAAAAATAAAATGCTTTGATATCGAAATATCATTTGCAGCTGTATTCAATGCGTAGCTAGTAAAGCGAGTTCTCATTCTTGAATGTAAAAGGCACGTGCACAATATAAGAGGTTGTACCTATACAAAGAACTGTATTCAGTTGACCGATCGCTTTATTTATTATAAAAAAAATTTAATAACGCAAGCGAGAATGAACCCACAACCCTAAGTGCTAACTGTACACTTTATTTATTGAGAAAATAAATATAATAACGCAAGCGCCAATCCACACAAAATCGAGGCACTTACTAGTCGCTATGACAATTCAAAAAATTTATTAATTAACAACGCAAGCAATAACCCTCACGCAACCCAAAAAACTTACTGGCCACATTATTTATTGATCAAATAAATATAATAAGGCAAGCGCGAATCCTCACACAACCCAAAGCACTTACTGGTCGCTTTACTTATTAAAAAAAAAAATATCATAACGTCAGTACCAGTCAGGGGGACATGTATTTAAGGTAATGATTAATAAAATTTATTAATTGACAACGCACGCATTAATTTCCACACAATTAAGGGTGCTTATTGGCCGCTTAACTTATTGATAAAATAAATATAATAACACAAGCGCCGATCCCCACGAAACCCAGGGCGCTTACTGGTTGTTCTAATAATTAGTAAGATTTATTAATCGATAACGCACGCGCCAATACCCTCATAACCTAAAGTGCTTAATAATCGCTGTAATTAATAATAAAATTAAATAATTAACAAAGCTAGCACTAATCTCCACACAACCAGGAATGCTTACTGGATACTTTATTTATTAATGAAACAAATATTATAACGCAAGTGCCTATTACCACACGACACGGAATGCTTACTAGCCACTTTCGATATGTATGATAATCAAAATAATATCGCAAGTGCCAATCACCATACACCCCGGACACTTACTGATTACTGTAATAATTAATAAAATTTATTAATTAACAACACAAGCATCCATTTCCATACAATTTAGGGTGCTTATTGGCAGCTTAACTTATTGATTAAATGAATGTCATAACACAAGCACTGATCCCCACGAAACCCAGGGCGCTTACTGGTTGTTCTAATAATTAGTAAGATTTATTAATCGATAACGCACGCGCCAATACCCTCATAACCTAAAGTGCTTAATAATCGCTGTAATTAATAATATAATTAATTAATTTACAACGCAAGCACTAATCTTCACACAACCAGGAATACTTACTGGATTTTTTATTTATTAATGAAACAAATATTATAACGCAAGTGCCTATTACCACACGACACGGAATGCTTACTAGCCACTTTCGATATGTATGATAATCAAAATAATATCGCAAGTACCAATCACTATACACCCCGGCCACTTACTGATCGCTGTAATAATAAATAAAATTTAATAATTAACAACGCAAGCACTAATCCCCGCACCATCTGGGGCATTAAGAGACCACTTTATTTATTAGAAAAAAAAAATTTTGAAACGCAAGTGCGAATCACTACACAAATCGGATTGTTTACTGGCCACTTTATTTTTAGATCAAATAAATATAATAACGCAAGCGCCAATACCCACATTACTCGAGCAATTACTAGTCGCTCTAACTAGTAAAGAAATTTGTCAAGTATCAACGCAAGTGCCCATCTCCACATGAGACAGGGTGCCTTCCGCTCAGTTTGCTAATTAATAAAATTTATTAATAAACAACGCAAGTAATAATTCCAACACAACTCAGGACACTTACTTTCCACTTTGTTTATTGAGAAAATACGTATAATAACGCAAGCGCAAATCCTTACACCACCTAGGAAGCTTACTAGTCGCTTTATTTATTAAGAAATAAATACAATAAAACAAGCCAGTCCCCCCAGAAACTAGGGCACTTACTGGTCGCTCTTATAATTAATAAAATTTATAAATAAATAACGCAAGGGCTAATCATCACACAACCCAGGGTGCTTACTAATTGTTCTAATAATTAATAAAATAAATTAATTAACAACTCAAGCACTCATCCCCACACATCCTGGAGTATTTACGGGTTGCTTTGTTTATTATGAAACAAAGTATAATAACGCAAGCGCGAGTCACCACACAACCCGAGATTTTTACTGGCCGCTATATTTATTGATAAAACAAATATAATAACAATAGCGTCAATGCCCACACAACCTAGGGTGCTCACTGGTTGCTCTAATTATTAAAAAAATTATTTATAAACACAAGCACCCATTTTCACGCAACCTAATAAGCTTACTGGACATTTTATTTATTAATTGAATAAATGTTATAACGCAAGTGCCAATTTTCAAATATTCAAGGGTACTTATTAGTCACTCTAATAATAATTAAAACTTATCGCTCAATAAGGTAAGCAACAATCCCAACACAATTCAGGGTGCTAACTGATCGCTGTATTAATTAAGGAAGCTCTATCACGAAATGTACAAGAACTTTGACTGATATATTATTGAAGTTGAGCTTGCGTTGAATCCAACGGTATCTTTATTTTTATGGGTTGGCGATCGAAATCCGGAGATAATTCAATTCAAAGTCAGCAATCTTCGAGCTCACTTAACACAGTCCCTTATGGACGACGGCCTGAAGCAAACTTTTGACTATGAATTAAACTACTAAGTAAAATGGAATGTACAAGCAAAAAAAACATACTTACCGAATCCCTGACATTCTTATCTTTAAGAAACTGGGTGACTTTATAGGCGTTGGTGATAAAAAAATTGAAAAATAGCTAAAATACTACTTTGGTCTGCAGTTACGTTCGGTGAGTGCAGTGACAAACACTGCCAGTCATATTGATCTAGAGAGCACGTGCAATAAAAAAAATTTAAATTCGTAAAATAACACGATAACTTTCGTAATGATTTTTCAATTCAATTTATTTTTTGGGTAATAACGCAGTAAATTATGGCAATCATTAATATTTAATTATTTGACAGCTGACTGTACAAATATATAAAAAACTATATACAATAACAGGTGAATTCAGTACAAAATAAAACAAACTTCATTACCAACATACAACTAGTATCAAAGAAAGCTTTTGTCTAGGGACATCGCATCGATCGTCACTGAATTGTCTACCACAGTAAACGATGGAGCCTCCTTAATAAAATTTATTAATGAACAACGCAAGCACCAATCCTCACACAACCAGGAATGCTTACCGGCAGCATTATTTATAAATCAAATAAATATAATAACGCAAGCGCCAATCACCACACAACTTAAGGCACTTACTTACTAGTCGCTTTAACGATTTAAAGTACTTAAAATAATAACGACAGTGCCAATTACCACAGAACGCAGAGCGCTTACTAGTCGCTTGAATTATGTATAATATATAAAATAATAACACGAGCGCAAATCTCCAAACAAACTGGAGTGCTTACTAGTCACTGCAATGATTCATAAAATTTATGGACTAACAACGCGAGAACCGGTCCTGACACTACCCGAGACGCTCACTGGTCGCTATATTTATTGATAAAATAAATATAATATCGCAAGCCCCAATCGCCACACAACCTGAGGCAATTACTAATTGCTATAGTTATTATTAAAAATTAGTATATAACAACGCAATCGCCAAGTACCACACAACCCAGAGAGCTTGCTGGCCACTTTAGTTATATATGATAAATAAAATCATAACGCAAGCTTCAATCACCATACAGCCCAAGCACTGACTAATTGCTGTAGTAATTGCTAGCATTCAATAATTAACAACGCAAACACAAACCCCCACACAACATCTGGCATTTACGGGTCGCTTTTTTATGAAAAATAAAAGTATAATATCGCAAGCGTGAATCACCACACAATCCAGAGTGCGTACTGGCCGCTTTACTTACTGATCAAATAATTATAATAACGCAAGTGCCGATGCCCACACATTCCAGGGCACTCACGAACCGCTTTATTTATTAATGAAATAAATATAATAACGCAAGCGCTAATCTTTACACAATCCAGGGCGCTTACTGGTCGCTTCAATAATTAATAAACTCAATTACTCAATGACGCAAGCGTTAATCCTCACACAACTCGGGGTACTTATTAATCACTGATATGATTAACAAAATTCGCTAATTAACAACGCAAGTACCAAATCCCACACAACTTGAAGCACTTACTGGCCATATGATTTATTAATAAAATAAAAATAATAACTTAAGAGCCAATTTCCGCTTAACCTAGTGCACTTACTGGTCGTTCTAATAATTGATAAAATTTTATAATTAACAAGACAAGCGTCTATTTCTACACAACCCATGGTACTTTCTAACCAATGTGATGATTTATAAAATTTATTAATTAACAGCGCAAGCACTAAATCCCACACAACCTAAGGTGCTTATTAGTTGCTGTAGTAATTCATAAAATTTATAAATTAACAACGCAGATTCCCATCACCACACGACCCAGGGCACTTACTGTCCGCTTTAAATATTTTTGATAAATAGAATAATAACACAAGCGCTAATATCTACACAACCTGGGGCGCTTACTGAACGCTGTCATAATAAATAAAATCAATTCGTTAACAACATAAGCACCAATTCTGACGATGATGCTTACTGGTTCTTTCATTTATTATTAAAAAACATCAAATACTAATTAAGCACAATTAGTACTGAGCAGTAAGTGCCTTGGGTGGTCTGGTGATGAGCACTCACGTTATTACTCAATAAATTTTATTAATTATTGGAATGATCAGCTAGCACCCCAGGTTCCGTTATGATTGGCGCTTGCGTTGTTTCTTTATGTATTGTGAATGGTTAAGTCGACCAGTAAATGCCCTGGGTTGTGTGGTGATTGGCGCTTGCATTATCATATTCATCTTTTTAATAAATAAAGTGGTCAGTAAGCTTTCTGGATTGGGTGATAGTTGGCACTTACGTTATTATTTAATTTATTATAAATTAAGTAAGTGGCTAGGAAGCGATCTAGGTTGTGTTGTGATTGGGACTTGTGATATTATGTTAGTCATTATAAATTAAGTAAGCGACCATGAAGCGTCCCGGGTTGTGTAGTGGTTAGTGCTCGCGTTATTATATTGAATTTATTAATAAATAAAGCGGCCAGTAGGCGTTCTAGGTTGTGTGGAGATTGGCGCTTGCGTTGAAAATTAATAAATTTTATTTATCATTGCTGTGACTTGTAAGCACCACTAGATTGTGTGGTGATTCGTGCTTGCGACATTATTTCATGTTACTTAAATAATTAAGCAGACCAGTAAGCATCCCAGTTTGTGTGGTGATTGGCGCTTGCGTTATTATTTTATTTATTGTAAATCAAGTAAGCGACCAGTTAGGGCCATGGGTTGTGTGGTGATTGGAGCTCGTGTTATTATTTTATGTATTTTATTTATTACTAAAACTTATGATGCTGCTGAATGACCCATTCGATTATTAGGTTAAATAGCTTGAGATTAATTTATTAAGTTATTGTGTGTGAAATTTCATAGAGTAATCTATGGTCTTGCGTCTGGCTTTAAATAGCAAATTCAAATTTTCCGCAAGTTCACCAGTCACAATTGGGAGCACCAATAAGCACTTCTATAATGCCTCCTTTTTGGCTGCCTATTAGCTTTTACAACACTCTATAGATTGGTATGTTAGTGACAGTCACTTTTATGTTACTGACCGTAATCTTTGCTGCAGGAACCCTCTTCTCTCAACACCAGTATACAGTTTTGCTACCAGTGTTGGCAAACACTACCATGTATAGTTATACTATTACGTCTGCATGGTGTTCTTTTCCTATGCGATACCTGGGAAAATGGAAATGATACAAAATGTTTAAAAATTTATGAGACAACCTGTATATCTTGTACTATAGTGTCAACACTGTTGACTGTCAACTGCTGCACTGCACTACACGCACAGACGTATACATCCATATTTATGTAACAATGTGTAAGAAAATTAATACAAATGTAATAAAATTTTTATTTTTCAAAGTAACGTGCAAATATTTTTAATTAGGACATTTGATACATTTAAAAGTCATTGCACGTGTGAATAGTATACAAAATAGAGCGGCTACTAGGTAATAAAAGTAGAGAGAAAGCATCATGTAACAGCCCTCTTTATCATTATCTTTTTATCTATATCACTATGTATTATCTACTAATCTGACATGTCAATACCTTCGCCTTTTATATGTGGAGTAAGTGATAAAGTATTTAAAAAAAAAAAAAAAACTTTTTTTTGTTTCGACACAAAATAAACTTATAAAATACAAATAAAAACCTTTTTATAAGAACAAGCTTCTTGTTCTTAGACTGTTCGTGCACCTAACTATTAATTTCATGACTTTTATAGTTTTCATAAAATTTTTAAATTGCTGATAGTTGGTTGATATTTTATAGTTAATTTATTCTTATAGGTGCCAATGAAGTGCAAAACACCTGTTGATCCGTACTCGTTCGTTGATGAAGAAATAACAATTGGGGGAATAAGATCGGCAAGTAGTCCAGGTAACAACTTGAGTGGCATGACCAATGTTGGTGGTCAACCAAGTAGCCTCATAACGACTACCTCCACGTCTTCCAGTTCTATATGTTCTCTGTCCCACCAACATCAGCCACAGCAGCAAGATCATCAACAACAGCAGCTTCAGATGAGCTTACAACTAATAAGTAGTGTACTTAGTCCACAAATAGAAACCCAACCAAAAAAACGTGGACGCAAGAAGAAAAGTGAAATGATTTTAACACAAGAAGAGTAAGTCTTACATTCTCTTTTCAAACGAGTATAAAAGAAATACCACATAAAATATTTTGCGATGCACACATGTATAAAATTAGTTCTAAAGGACAAGTGTTTTCGAAGTTTTACTTCTATACGTTCGTTATGCATGAGAGTGAATCAACGGTTTTAGACTTTTGACCTTCAGAAAAAGTGTGACGAAACTATATGTTGCATGTTACTCCCACTTTACCCTGCCCCCCTTACATATGCCGTTCCACGCCTGTCCCCTTGACACCACATAACGCCGCACCACCTCATCACACTTCTTAAGTTTTATGAGTTTTTTTCTTTTTCTTTTAACTAATTTTTTTTCAAAACCAGTGCGCCGTGGGTGCTTGAGCACCTAAGTATGTAATTATACTTCTATAAAATTATATAGCAAACAATATAATTTTGAGTATAAAAATGCCTTCTATGAAGCGATGTTATGTACGAAGGTGGTGAGTTATCGTGGGAATAAGTACACCAGCACTGACTGAATATGATTTTAATTATTATTTCATAAGTTAACGATTTCAAACAAAACATTATGACACGATACAATAAAAACTATATATAGGCTGCTCAGCACAAGACATTGCGCTTTTATCGAATCTTTCGTTGATTTGAAAACAATTTGCTACTGCTCACGCTGATTACATCCGTAACATCACACTCACATCTATCACAAACGATCCCACATTCATTCCTAGTTCATATTTAGCACCCAAAATATAATTTTATATAGGAAATTAAGAAAAACCATTTTATAGTGTAGCTTTCGTCAATAGGGTAGTATTACATGCCAGTGAATATCCCTTCAGGACGTTCGTCACACGTAGGTTTTTTTTACAGATATTATTTAAACGTTACACGTGTATTCAAATAGCTTAAAAAATACTAACAACTATTGCAGATTGTTTGACTGTACCATTATTTTATATACGTTACATTAAAAAAAATCGATACTTAACATGTAGCCTTATGAAAAAGTCACGTCAAATGGCATTTATATTATTTGTAGGAATCTCCCAATTTTTGAGTACAAAAGATTACAGTAAGATAAGCCAATCGAATATTCAAATAGACCCACAAGTTGATTTTTAAATGAATTAAGGAAAAGGGTATGAAGTCTGTGTAATGGCATGTATGAGAGTTCCACACTAGAAAAACAATAGCTTTACTGCATACATCAGCGTTCCTTTCAATTCTCTGAGCTGTACCACCAGTAATTATGTGAAGAACGCCTTAAGTAAAACAATTACTTTAATGACGAATAGAAAAATTGTAAAAGGATAAAACACAATAAAAACTAATTATCGTATTTGTACAGTACAGAATTTTCTTTTAATTTTGGATAATTTTGAATAAGTTAGAAAAATTGTAGAAACAATTATTTATTTATTTACTGTAAAAGTAACAAATTAAATATATAGGAATAAATATCTATAAATACATTGGAAAGGTACTCTGCAAAAATATACTAATTTTCTAGTTTTCTGAAAAAACGTTTCCTTACGAAATTGTTCTATTAAGTAAACCATTTATTAATTGAATAAACAACAAAACCAAATAAATGAAAGTGCATTAAATAGTAATTTACATGAAAAAAAAGTTATGAACTACACCACAACATGTAGGAATCGTTGATGTACCCTCACGCATAACGCACCTACAGAAGTATAACTTCGAAAAATGCTTCCCATGAGTCTTGAACCTGCGAGCTTCTGCACACTAGCCAAGGCTCTTACCCACTCTGCTGTGAGCGGCCTTGACACAGGAAATTCGATTACAGATTGTTATCGTGTGGTTCGTAACTTACTTTTAATGTCAATTTTTACTTACTGTTTGTGAATTTATTCGATTATTTAAAAAAATATTATTAATAAATGAATAACTTATTGAATAAACTCAAAATTAAACTAATAAATATAATTTAATAAACTAATACATTCCAAATTTTTAAAATTAAAAAAACAATTTCTTGTTCTGTATAAATACAATATTTGATTTTGATTGCATTTTGTTCTTTCACAATTTTTCTATTTGTGATCAAGGTGAGTCTTAAACTTCAGGACGTTCTTTACATAGTTACCAGGGGAAAACTTCAAACAAATGAGAGGGTTGGAAATATATGCAGCAACGCTGGCAATTATTTTCCCACCTTCTAACCTCAAAGTAGCACCTTCATCGCTCGATTTTGGGTTCTTAGGTGGAAAAATAATATACAAAACTCGTTCGAAAACCCTTCTTTATGAACATCGTTACGGCCCTCGTCTTTGGCTCATGCCGTAAATCTCCTGGTTCGTAAATCGAATCCTTTGCAAACTAATGCGTAGTATGCTATTTCTCAAATAGATGACCTTACATACTTGATTTTACGCCTACTTGACGTTCTCTTTTTTGTGCTGTTAAAAAAAACAACTTGTGCATCCATCCAAAAATTGAATAGGCTCATCTAAACATAATATTTCATACAAACTTGGGAGATTCGTACAGATTATCTAAAGACAACTTTTTGTGATTTTTCCATAATGTTACATAGTGAGTTGCAGTTTTTTAAAATTTAACATATGAAAAAAAGGGAAGATTAAATAATCTGCATTTTTTTTAGTATTGTTAATGATACTTTTAATATACATCAGATGTTTAAATACTATCTGTGAAATAAATTAATGTGTGATGAACGTCCGAAAGCGGTACTACGAGACGGTGTTTCTCAATTTTTCAGATATAAACAAATTTTGGATACTTAAAATGGACTAGAAATAAGTACTTTTATGTTTTTAAAATTTTTTTTTTAATCTCCACACGTAGCAAATACAACTGCCCTTGAATCATTTTCATAGATATCTATTGAAATTTTAATTTTTACTGTAAAAATTTCAATAAACAAATTATTTACATACAATATTTCAATAACAGTTTGTACCAACACTGTACCCTTTGCAATTGTTGAAAATTTTTTTACTTTTTTTTTGTTTATGCCTGTCCTGTTGCTTATTTTCTTTTAATATTATAGTTAAAATTTAAGTTAATTTAAAATTACGGGCTTGACGCTAGGACAATAGGCATTGAGCATTCGTAGATCTCGAGTCACGTGATTGATACATGTTTAAGGACGATACGTATATTCAGTGATTAGGTAACCTTTGGTGAGGAAAGATGCATCATGTAATACATGGAGTTATAATATTAATAAATTAAAATCGATTTTAGAAGATGTTGTAAAGTATTTATAATTCTAGGCTCATTTATTTTTAACAATTATCTTCGGCCCAGTGCGAATCTACAATATCGTTAAATACTTAACGTTTATTATTGAATCATAAATCAACCTTGTATCTTTTGTCTTGACTTAATATTTCAACACTCTCGTTGCATACTTATTGTGAGTTGCATTATAATAATTCGGAAAGCTACTTAGATAATTGACAATGTATGTTTAATCTGCTTTCGTGCCTCTGCTTCCTTGTAACAGCTTAACAATTAAATTTTTGAACCTTATTTGTTCCTCGCAACTATCAGATTTTTTAACTTTTAAACTTGTTTTCATAGAAATATCATATAATATTATATTTCCTAATTTTTATTTTATCACTAGTTACTCTACATACTCATTATACATTGCAACGTACATTTTTCTTTATTGTTATCGATTTTTATCCTGATATAATTTTTAACTTTACTTATGTTTTTAATTACGAGTTGCTTCACAAGTTTTGCTTTTATTTTTTTTATCTTATCAAATCATTACTGCATATAAGTAAATCATCAACAATAAGATGAAAACTATATTTGATTTGATTTATCATTTTTTTATGAATAAACAACAATCGTTATAACTTGTAACAAAATTTTATGAAATTGACTGAATTAAGTTTTCTTCCTTTCAATTCATAATCTAGTTTTTTTCATCACTAGTTTAATTTTCTCGTTTTTAATGCTTTCGCTCATTCTTATAATCAAATTGACCTTTGCTGAATGGATCTGATTTTACTTTTAATTTTTGTTTTCTATTACTTTAACATGTCTAGCTACTATAACCTTATTGTGGCGTATAAAATAGTTAAAGGTGGTGTTTCATTGTTAATTGTGCTCACTATTATCTAATTTTTCAATAAGCCACTGTTTTTTTTACTTTAGACCGAAATAAATCTATATTTTCTTCATTCATCTAACACCTTTTCATATCCATTGCCGATCTGTTATATTCTTCTGCAATACTGTTCAGTTTACCTACATAACGTAGGTATGAAAATAGTTACACACTTTTAATTTTCATAAAGTGAAAAATTTTTTTATTTAGGTACTCTTTTTTATTGTCACATCAAAACTTTTTAACCCCTTTGTTAAATTTATTTTCTACTAAATTTATATAATCGATAAAGCATCTCGCTGTTCCTGACTCATTTCGTATACAATAGAAGCTTACACATTTACTTAATTAAATTATAAATGTTAATGTGAATATTCATTGTGATTTCATGAATTCATCATTATAGTGAATTGTCCCTCAGCACCAGTAACCAGAGTATTAGGAGACTGAGTCATTAGCATAGCAAACTAGAAGTCCTCCAAAATTTTTATTTGGTAAAGCTTTTAAGAAATTTTTGGCCTTCTTGACATAAAAATTATACTGTCTCTCATAATATGTGATAGGTCATCTACTACCAACAGCAGCATATGATCTACCTCGCTCATTATCCACCTGCGTGCACATGTGATACGTGCTATATTGGATGAATCAAAATTTTAAATCCGTATTAAACTTTGACTTCTTAACTCTTATATGTATACGAGATAAATTTAACTTTCATCGATGGTTCAAAATAGTCCAAAGCAAAAATTTTTTTTTGTAATGCTTTAGATTAGACTCTGATTGCTATACCCTTCCGTACAATTAATATGTAAAATGCATAACGAAACTTATGGAACTTAAGCGCTTGTGTATACATTCATTGTATGTTTTTTTAAATATGTAAGTCATTAAC